ACCCATTTCAGTAGGATGGTCTGTGGAAGCAGCACTGAAATAGGGTGAAGAACTAGAAGTAGTGCATCATAGTAAATAACAGCATATACAAATATCTTAAGAAAGTATTTTCTGGGACTTTAAAGGAACCACAGTATTTTCAATTACTTGCTATGCATCTGAGTTAGACAGTGAGTAGGTTGACAGAACAATCATTGATGTCTTTGAATTGTGGTGGTGGAAAAAAGCATTGAATAGCCCATGGACTCCCAAAAGAACAAGACTATCTGGAAGTGCAACAAGGGTGCTCCTTAGAGGGATGGGTGGTGAAACTTGGAATCAAATACTTTGGGCATGTTGTCAGCAGAGGTCAGTCCTGGGAAAAGGACATGATGCTGAGAAAGGTGGAGGGTTAGAGAAAGAGAAGACCCTCAACAAGATGGATTTGACAAGGTCAATGTAACAATGGGTGGGGGGATATGGTACAGGCTAGGACCAGTGTCGGCTCTGTGTATAGTGTTGGTGTGAGTCATAATTGGCCTGATGGCACCTAACAACAACAATGTAGCTGGAGAAGGGAGGCAAATGAGAGGAAACTGAAAAAGTAGCAACTCCCAGATCACCTGGGTCATTGCAGATCTGTGAGTTTTATGTTAAGGGTCTTGGGAAGCCAGGAGAGGATTCTAATTAGCCAACTGAGCTATTTTAATGAAACAAGTCCTTGTGGCAAATGTGGAGAGAATGCATTAAAGAGGGGCAAAAAATATGGGAGAGCCTAGTTAATTACAGTTGTTGCTGTGTACCATAGAGTTGGTGTTAAATATTAGAACCCTGTGAGGCTGGTTCTGATGCGCAGCACTGTTCATATTTGTAAAGGAATAACAGTTGTTTAAAATTTTAAATGGCTCAGGAGCTATATATACTTTTTCTGCAGAATGTCTTATTATCTGCGTGATCTTGGACAAGTTATTGCACTTCTCTGTGCCTCATTTGCAATATGGGACCAACATAGCATCTGTCTCCTAAGGTGGTGGTAGTTTTATAAATTATTTTCTTTTAAAATTTTATTGTGATTTTATCAAAAGTTTATAGAAAGGTTTTCATTCATTGTTGCACATTTTCTTCCCTCTTCCTTGTCTCCTCCCTATCCCACCCTGAAATGCACTAGAAATATTCCAGATTTTTGTCATACATATAATGCCTAATCATATATTCCTTTACAATAGATATTCCCCTCATCTGTCCCAACACATTGTTCTTTATCTATCCACTCTTTTCCTGTTCTCCACCCCCATGTCAGACCTATTTTATAAGTGGTGTTATGCAGTATTTGTCCTTTTTTGACTGAGATATTTCTCTCAGCATGCCTTCCAGGCAATTTTAATGGTGTGACTCTTTCCCTCTGTAACTTAATGATTTGGAAGGTGTTTTGAATGTAAAAAGGTAATTCTTCTGTTCTTCCCTTCTCTCTGAGATACTTGTTGTTTAGGAACCCTAAACTCCAAATGTTATCTTCTCAGCTCCATGAGACAGCTTGGTCCAACTTCCCAGCCTCTTGCCCAACACCAAGAGTTAGCGAATGTGCTAAGGGCTAAAACGATACCTCTCTGGGGCCACTCTTCTCTCCAGGATCTTGGCTGAGTAATAGATAACATTTGGACAGTAACTTGTACAAGAAAATCATCAACAAGTATTAGTCCAGCTGCAAGATGACATGATCCCTCTGCCTCCCACACCCCTTCTATCTTACTCCTATCATAGATTTCTACCAAGGACACCAGTGACAGACTCCAAACTGTAGTCACATTTGCCTCCTTGCTCTCAGTTCCTGTGTTGTTGTTGGGTGCTGTCGAGTACAACTCATAGTGACCCTATGAACAAAAGATCTGAACCCTGCTCTATCCTGTGTCATCCTTAAACTTTGTGACACACCAGAGCTCACTGCAACAGTCACTGTGTCAATGACCTTCCACTCTTCCCAGCATCATATCCCTCTCCAAGGAAGCCCCTCCTAGCAACATGCCGGAAGTATGTGAGGTGAAGCCTCCTCATTCTTACCTCCAAAGAGATCTTCAGCTACACCTTCTCCAAGACATACTTGTTTGTTCTCTTGGCTATCAAGTGCTCTTCTCCAGCACCACAGCTCAAAGATGTCAATTCTTATTTTGTCAATTCCTTTACCCTACCACAAATAACAGCTTAAAATTAAGGGCATTATTTTTCTATTAGGTATTTTATTTCCATCTGTGCCCAAAGTAAAGTCCCTGTTGTAATTAAGTCTTGGTTGCTAAAGGTTCATAGTTTAGATGCATCTAGTGGCTCATGGAAGGCTTGGAGCTCGTATATATTTACGGTGGGAAAAAAACCAAAAAAACCCAAACCACCCTCTGAAGCATTTCTATACATGGGTTCACCATTAATTGGAATCAGCTGGTCAGTAATTGTCTTTTAAAAATTTATTGTTCTTCAACAAATACTGAGTACTTATTTATGATAGTCAGATGGGATAGACTCAAGACCATATTTTGGTTCTTGAAGACGTTTTTCTTCAGCCTCAGCTGGAGCTTAGACATGAGTCATTGACCATCTGTTCCACAGTTGGCACCTGGCCTTGTTGAATGCTGATACTGAGTTTCTCCAGTGATTCCTTCCATTGATGTAGTTAATGTGATTCCTATGCTGAGAGTTGGACAATGAATGACAGTGAATTGATGCCATTGAACTGTGCTATCCGAGAAGTGTACAAGAACAAACTAATATGTCTTGGAGAAAGTGCAGCCAGAGAGCTTGGTGGAGACAAAGATTATAAAACTTCATATACTTTGGGCATGTTGCTAGGTGAGCTATTACTGGGAGAGGAACATCATACTTGGAAGGTGGAGGGTGGGCAAATAGGACCCTCAGCCAGGTGGATTGACAGAGACTGCAGCAATGGGCTCAAGTGTGTCAGATTGTGAGGATGGCACTGGACAAGACAGCGTTCAGATCTGTTCTGATGGCGTTGCTGTGAGTCGTATTCGACTTGATGGCTACAACAACATGATAGTCAAGCAGCTGTACTAGGTTACTAAGGAACTAAAATCTTGTTGTTCATCTTGTGTTTAGATAGAACTTTGCAAGGTCTTTGAAATTAACAAGCTATTGATAGGAAATAAAGGTAAAACTTCTACCAACAAATGGAGATTCAAGAGATCCTCAATAAGAAACCACTGAAAAATTCTAAACATGGCTTTACCACTTCAAACTTGCTAACTTATCAGTTACAGATACAAAATGGGGCCCATGGTTGTTGCTGTTGTTATGTGCTGTCGAGTCGCCTGTGATTCATGGTGACCCCATGTACAGCAGTCCTAAATGCTGCTCCATCCTGTGCCAATCCTATTGCCTCTGACACACCTGTCCCAATTACCCAAGTCACTGAATCAATCCATCTCGAGGGTCTTCCTCTCCTTCCTCTGTCCCTCCACCACGCATGATGTCCCTCTCTAAGAACTAGTCCCTCCTTGCAACATGTCCAAAGTATGTCAGACAAAGCTTCAGAATCCTTGCCTTGAAGGAGCAGCCTGATTTTACCCTCTATAGGATGAACCTGTTTGTTTTCTTGGCAGTCCATGGTATATTGAATACTCTTCTCCAGCACCACAGCTCAAAGGCATCAATTCTCCTTCTATCATCCCTAGTCATTGTCCAGCTCTCTGATGTATAGCAATGAATTGCGAAGACCACGGCCTGCATCAGG